TGAGACCGGAACGTGGATGAAAGTCTGCCCCGGAAATATAAATCAGTGTAAGTATATGGTCTTTAAAGCTATGTAACTGGACGAAGTCACTCGCAGAGAGTTTGTATGGGGAAGAGGACCAGAACTGAGCTCTGAAGTACTGCAACCTTCATTGCTTCAGCAGTGAGGGAAGCCAGCCAAGGAGCCAGGGAGAAACTGTCCAAAAGGGAGGAGCACCCAGGACTATGTGAAGGCAGAAAGAAAGTGGGGTCCATATTGAATGCGGTTGAGGGCAAGAAAGTACCCATCGAATCTGGTAACCAGGAGGGCAAAAGCAGTGTCCGTGGCTTGGTGGGAAAAGTTGAGGAGGGTCTGAGAGATGAGGAAGAGGAGACAGTATGGCTGGAAGCAGGCCCCTGACACTCTCCTCTCCTCCAAGACCCTTGAGAAGAAGGAGCGCTGGTTTACCCGTGCAGTGCAGGGAAGGGAATTTCAAATTATTGCCTCAACTGCTTTTCTTTCTAGGTGATGGGGAGATGGCTCACTTTTTTTTTTTTTTTTTTTTTAACCCATACATTGATAAACATTGCCAAGTGTTGGTTCCAGGGATGGGGGCTGTGTACTTGCATATACGGGCATGTTTTTCATCATGCTAGGAGTTGATTTAGTTTGGTCAAACATTCTTTTAACTTTAAAATGTATCTTTATAGACTTCACCATGACAGTAAACATCCGTTTAATGCCTGCTCAGATTTCTTCTAGTACAGCTAGTGTTCTAAATTGAAAATGATCACAGCCCCATCTCGTGGACTTGTTTAGCTAGTGAAGGTGCAACTGTGGCGTGTTGTCTATTCTCCGCGACTCTCTCTGGAAGACAGTCAAGGCTTTTGTGAGCTTACTGGCTATCTGGTAAATGAAGACAAAAACCAAATGTTTGGCCACTTAGCTTTATTTTTGTTTTGCTTATAATTTCAGAGAGTCTATGTTAAACCCCAGAACTTCATGGGACAAATAGAGGCCACTGGGCTAGTGGGGATACAACTGGGAGATCCAGACTCGTTCCAATGTCAGGAGGCTACAGCACTTTCTAGAAAGTGTCGGAATTATAATCATCCCTTGGCTTCTGGAGGTGAGAGTGGGAAGTGTGGTTCTTCCATGACATAGAGGCAGTTAGGCAGTTTTCTGATTGTGTAAATAATCGTAATTTTTATAGAAAAACTTTGGAGATTAAAATTCAAAAATAAAAACCACTCATCATCCAATCACTTAAAGACAGTTGTTATTACCATTTTTGTGTATTCTGTTTCGGAGTGTAGGATTTTGACGTAGATTTTTAAAGCCATTGAGATCATTATAGAGAGAGAGAGAGCTTTGTATTTGGTTAAGGTTTGAAGGCTTTGGGGTTATGTAGGAAGTTACAGATAAGCTATCTATTTCTTTTTGTGTATCACAAACAAACTGATATTCAGACTGTGGCTTTTGCAGAGCCAGGCCATGAGGATTCATGTCCTTAGAAGTTTGCAGTGGTCCATTTTGTGCATTGAGATTGTAATAATTTCTTCTTTCTTTCTAACTTCTCATGACCCCTGGCAAACACTTAAAGTCCTAGGCAACATTAGATTTTGACATTGGTGAGTCACTGTAATTTATGGCCACTTTGACCACAGGGAAGTAAGTGGTTGTTTTAGATGGTGGTCTTGAGCTAATGGTGGGTGGTCATGGTGCCTCGTAGGGGCTGGCTTTAGAATTTGCATGACTACAGTTTCATTTTGAGTGACACTGGTATTTAATAGCTTTCCAGGGTCTCTGCAGACAGTGGGCCATCAGGGCCTCAGTAACAAGTGCATCTGAGGCAAGGATTCACTCAAATGGACGAGAGCATCTTGACTGGGGATAATTATTTGCTGCTTTTATTTTATTTTATTTTTAAAGATTTTATTTATTTATTTGACAGAGAGAGACACAGCGAGAGAGGGAACACAAGCAGGAGGTGTGGGAGGGGGAGAAGCAGGCTCCTGCAGAGCAGGGAGCCCGATGCGGGGCTCGATCCCAGGACCCTGGGAACATGACCTGAGCTGAAGGCAGCCGCTTAACCGACTGAGCCACCCAGGCGCCCCTCTTTATGCTGTTTTGAATTGAATTCAGAGCCAAGGGAGGAACTTATGGAGGGGCTAAGCCATGGATATACATGGTTTATAAACAACCTTTAAGAATCATTCCCCACTTTGATATACAGAGCCTGTAACATCTCAAATCCTAGGATGCACGGTCTCTTTTGAGTAGAAATGACACAGGGCTTTGTCCCATGAGGCCTCTAGAGGCACACTTCATCAAAAGCCCCTTTATTTCAGGAACTTGCTGAAAGTGGTTCTCCAGCTGAAACAGTTCTGGGGATGAACATTCCCTGGGAAGCTGGGTTCACAGCCCTAAGAAATTCCACAGCAAGTGGCAGCCGCCATTGTGGCTCAGGACCAAAAATACCAGTTCATGGGAGAGAGTGCAGGCTACGTCGCCAAGTCGGAGCCCACCCCAATGCAGAAAAATGGCACTCAAGGGGAAGTCTAAACTTGAGTGAAAATGCTGAAAGGGAAGAGCTTCTTCTCAGGATCTGATGCCTGGGACTGCTTCCATTGCAAATTTTAAGGAAAAAAAAAAAAAAAGAGAGAGACAGGAATATCTCAAATGACAATCCCTGAGAAAAGAAATGAGTGAATCCCAGCCCCTCCTACACCCTGGTCCCACAAAAGTGGTCAATCTCATGGTTTCCAATTTAACGTCTTTTGAGAGGTTCTCCCAAGGGTTTTAAAAACTGAGATATAAAAAGACTCGTTCACAAAAGCCAGACTCTTAACTCTAGAGAACAATCAGATGGTTACCAGAGGGAAGTTGGGTGGGGGGTTGGGTGAAATAGGCAAAGGGGATTAAGAGCACACTTACGTTGAGCACTGAGTAATGTATAGAAGTGTTGGATTACTATATTATACACCTGAAATTAATATAACACTATGTTAATTACACTGGAATTAAAATTAAAAAATGAAATGATTGAGATTAAAAATAAATGAATGAATGAATAAATATGATATATATAAATAAAATTCATGGTTTAAAAGTGTACATATCAGTAATTTTTGGTATATTAACTATTACTATTACCTGTTTACCCTTAACTAAAACCACTAACAAATTCCAGAATAGGGGTGCCTGGGTGGCTCAGTCATCTGCCTTCGGCTCAGGTCATGATCCCAGCGTCCTGGGATCGAGCCCCGCGTCGGGCTCCCTGCTCCGCGGGAAGCCTGCTTCTCCCTCTCCCACTCCCCCTGCTTGTGTTCCCTCTCTTGCTGTCTCTCTCTCTGTCAAAAAATAAAGGAAAATCTTAAAAAAAAAAAGAATATTGTCCAGAATATTTTCATCACACCAAAAAGAAACCCCACACCTATTAGCAGTCAATCACAATTCTCTCTCCCACCCCCTGGCAACCATGAATCTACTTTTTATCTCTACCGATTTGCCTATTCTGTACATTTCATATAAATGGAATCATACAGTGTGTAGCCTTTGTGACTGACTTTCACTTTAGCATAATATTTTCAAGGTTCATCCATATCATAGCATGTAGCAACTCCCATTCGTTTTGACAGCTGAATGATTTTTCATTGCATGGATATACCACATTTGTTTATCCATTCATCAGTTGATGGCATTGGATTATTTACATTTTTCCCCTCAGATTTTATTTATTCATTTGAGACAGAGAGATACACAGAGACAGAACACGAGCAGGGGTAGAGGCAGAAAACAGGTTCCCTCCTGAGCTAGGAGCCCAATGCAGGGCTCGATCCCAGGACCCCAGGATCATGACCCGAGCCGAAGGCAGACGCTTAACCATCTGAGCCACCCAGCCGCCCCGATTGTTTACATTTTTTTAAAGAGATTTATTTACTTATTTGAAAGAGAGAGAGCGTGGTGGGGAGGGTCAGCGGGAGAGGGAGAAGGAGAGAAGCAGACTCCCCGCTGAGCGCATAGCCTAGCAGAGCTCAATCTAGTGACCCTGAGACCAGGACCTTAGCTGAAAGCAAGAGTTGGGTACTCAACTGACTCAGCCACCCAGGCACCCCTGGATTGTTTACATTTTTTTTTTTTTTTTGGCTGTTAGGCATAATGCTATGAACATTCTTGTGCAATCCTAATTGGTTTTTAGGGTCATGTTCATGGATCCCAGGCAAGCAACATAGGTTGACTAGTAAAGTTGAAAGAAATATTTTTCAGATTCTTTTGAGGTTCTATTATGGCTTTTGACAACACTAAGTGCTGAGATTTGGAACATAATTATGTTTGGGATAACTATACTAAGATTTGGGGATTGCCTTATTTTTTTGAATGTGTAGGTGTGACAAACAATTGCTGTGTAATTTTGCATGCTTTAGATCCTTCACAGTGAGCCTGCTGAACTGTGTAGCAGTGAACAAACACAATTTCTGAAGTCCTGAACTGCTGCCACTCTAGAGAAAGACAGTCCAGGCTTCAGCTGCTTAAAGAATGCAGACATGGAAAATTCATCCAGCTGAAATTGAGCAGAGTGAGAAGTTGGGGAGAATGATTTGAGACTTTAAACTGAGATTTGGGACTCTAATTTCTTGGATTCATAATGCCCAGGGACAGCAGGATCTTTTCACGCATTAGCCCTTTGGGACTGTAACTAAAAGATTTTGGATTTTAAATTTTTAACATTTTTTAAAAAGATTTTATTTATTTATTTGACAAAGGAAGACACAGTGAGAACAGGAACACAAGCAGGGGGAGTGGGAGAGGGAGAAGCAGGCTTCCTGCGGAGCAGGGAGCCCGATGTGCGTCTCGATCCCAGGACCCCAGGATTATGACCTGAGCCGAAGGCAGACGCTTAACGACTGAGCCACCCAGGTTCCCCTAATTTTTTAAGATTTATATCTTTTAATTATATTGCTGGGAAATTAATAATGGGAGGAGGGTTTATTTAATTTTGGAGTATCATGATATGTTGACATGATTTTTGGAATATTTTAATTTAATTTGGAATGTTTGATTTAATTTTAATATTTTAATGTTGTTATTTTAATCTCTTGCAGAAACTCTGAGAGGCCATGTTGGACAATATAGCTGGGCAAAATTTGGAATAGGAAATAGAACAGAAGTGAACGTTCATCTTTAAATTCATAAATGGCCATTGAGGTCATTCAATTAATATACAATTCTGTCCCACTTCAGAGCCTAGAGCAAAAATCTCATTCTTTTAGCAGTAAGAAAGGTCCCAGAACGTCTCAGAAAGATCCACAAAAGAGAATGGAAGGGCAGTTATTTTCTTACAACAAATATTTTCTTCACTGTGATAAATGTATATTAGCTCTATGCTAATAATGCCTCATGGAGTAATTTTTAGACAATACCTAAAAAAAATAACCAGAGACCTACATTTAGAATAAAATTTTAAAAAATGGAGCACCTTCTATTCAAAGGTAAAGGAAAAGTACAAGAAATGATGATTGTATTATCACTTACTCTTCCATCTGGGAGATGGAAAATGTCTTTTGCCGTAGATTTTTTAAGTAGCTGGATTACAGACACATTCAAATGTGAAAAAAACAGTCCTGGATTTTCCTCTCTTAGTTGAATCACTGCTACTTCCACAGCCAGGAGCATAATAACGGTGATTGGGCTGTGGCCCTTCAGCGTTTTCTCCTTGGGCTAAAGTGGAAGATAAATTTGGCGGCTCTTCCAAGGGTAGGCCTTGGACCCTTTCCTGCCAGCAGGGAAAGAGGCTGGAAACCACCTAGGCTCTTTCTACCCCTGACCTGCTGGCACTCTGGGGTCTTCCAGAATTTCCCCACTTACTGCTACTTCACATACTCTTCCCTGGAAGGTAGTCACTTTTCCATTTCTGGCCTTACTTGGGTGCCAGATTGTGGTATAAGATTGGACCGGTTTCTGTTTGTTTGTTTCATCGTGGAAGTTATATCATGGAAGACCTGTTTCTCACTGTTTTTACTCTTGAAGTTCATGTCATTCACTTTCAAGAGTGATTTCAAAAGGGATTTCAAGAAGGGTGCCTGGGTGGCTCAGTTGGTTAAGCATCTGACTCTTGATTTCGGCTCAGGTCGTGAGCTCATGGATCGTGATCTCATGGCTTGTGGGACTGAGCCACACGTCAGGCTCCAAGCTCAGTGGGGAGTCTGCTTGAGATTCTCTCCTTCCCTCTCCCTCTGCCCTTCCTCCTGCTTACTCTCTCTCTCTAAATTAAATAAATAAATCTTTAAAAAAAAAGAGAGAGATTTCAAAAATTTGTGCTTATATGGCCATTTTATTCCAACTTTAGAATATTTAGAAATCTTTCAGCCTCTCCTTTAAAAAAAAGTCTGGTATATTTGTTGAGTGAATGCATGGACACCATGCCAGACTCTGATGAAGAATGTCATTTTTATTAAAAGCCATCTCTGGAATTTTGAAGTTAAAGAAAAATTCTGTGAAAAATCCCACCTAGTCATCTAATTCTAGTAGTGTTAGGAAGTTTACCTATTTTTTTTTTCTTTTTGAAAGATGATTAAATACAATATTGCACAATCAGACCTTCACATTCTACCAGGCATATGGTGAGTGTTCAACAAATGGGGCGTTTACTGTTACTACTCTTTATTTGCTCAGCCACAGATGATCACCACACAACCATTTTACCCCGTGCTTAGGTAATATCTTCTTGCTCTCCTTCTCTCTCCCCTCACTGGCTCTTTCACTCTTCAGTTCTTTCTTTCTCTTCTTGCTGTGGTCACCTCCACAATCATCCTCAAAGTCCACTACTATTTCTATTCTCATTGTTCCTATCAATAATTCCACCAGTCAAGTAGTACAAATTTGTATATTTACAAATTTCTTTTTTTTAAAGATTTTATTTATTTATCTGAGAGAAAGAGAGTACATGAACGGTGGGGGGAGGGAGGGGGAGAGGGAGAGGGAGAAGCAGGCTCCTGGCTGAGCAGGGAGCCCAATATGGAGCTAGATCCAAGGACCCTGAGATAATGACCTGAGCTGAAGGCAGATGCTTAACTGACTGAGCCACCCAGGCACCCCTGTATATTTACTTTGTAGTCCTATAAAGTACCAATGTGTTTCTTATTGAGGTATATTATTAAATTTAAACAATCTATTTAAATTACTATATCAACTTACACTAGGAGGTCCTATATGCTAATATAAATGCACACCACCCAAATATTATCGCTCATTGGGAGATCCCTTTAGTCTTCATGGACTGATATGTCCATGGATGTATCAGATTGCATTTATAATGCAGAGGAAGGCCTGCTTCTGCTTTCCATGGCACCATTTTATATTCAAAGTAAGGATGCATGTTAGTGAGCTCATGGCATTTTCCTTCAGTCTAGTGTATAAGATGTGGACATTTGGGGTGACATTTTGGCTCATGATCATCATATTTCTTTGGTCAGTCCAGACATTCCTGGGAAGGATTTTAACACTTCTTTTTATAGCACTCTGTTTTCTGGAAGTCAACCTGTACTTTCATGGACTCTTAAAAAATCAAGTCACGTGTTGTTTCTAGTGCTTGGAACTATCTCTCAAAGACATTTGCTGATTA